AGCAGGAGCTGAGTAACCCCAAAAGAGCCTGCAGTGCCACCACACACACCGCTGCTGGGGAGCAGAAGTGTTAGCACCAGAACTCATCAGATCTAGCACAAAGCACCTGGGCTGAGTACTGATGAGTGTTACTGGGTTACACAGTGAAGAGCAGCTTTTTGGTGGTATTCCTGCACTGAACTGCACATCCACCACACAGGTCACATCCTACACTATTTTCAGGAAGATTTCTGTTGTGGTTTCATGAACTGCCTTTTCATCACAGTTCATGTTATTTAGTCCAGTAAATTTGTTCTACTTTACATATTGTCTGATCTTACACATTCCCTGTAAGTAAGAAAAATTAATTGGTTTAGAAGTTACCACAGCATCCCAAATATGGTTTTGTGAACCCTGCTTTGGACTTAAAAATGCATTTTAGAACCCTTCTTTACCTCTTGACCTTTATTTTCCTGTCCTACAGAAGTGCTCTCCAGTACCTTTGGTTCTTTAATGACATTCATTAAGGTTTCAAAATAACTATATGTCTATTGCCTAAAACTCATTACAGTTTTCCTGGCACAAATTAACTTTGTGTAAACTGCTCTAATGTAGCGGATAACACCGAAGGACAAATAAAAGGGCTGAATGATGTGTTGAAGGAGGCAATATAGAATTGTAAAAGCTCACTGCAGCCACAGAAAATGCAAGCACAAATGTAGATAACTCATCAAATTCTAAGTTGTGTTTCTGAAACATGTAAATACAGAGGCTAGTGAAAATGGCCCTATGGGTGTGAGGTGTGGGAGGAATTCTTATGTGTTCCAGGGATGGCATTGAAAAAAACAGTAATCGAATCTCAAAGGATGTGTATGCCTTAGGAATGGAAGAAATCAATAGAGCTCAATGTAAGGGTTTAGAGGTTAGTTGAGTCAAAAAGAAATCCTTTAAAATTCAGACATATGGACTTAGAGAACACTCATCAATAGCTAAGTTCTAAGCAGATAACACATAGTAAATATAAGGAAGGGATAAATAAAACTTTGAAGAGTAAATAACTAATGGTATTAAGCCCCCCACAATCCTCTCCTCTTTCTCCGACAATATGGCAATCCTCTTTAAGAATATAAGCAGCAGAGAACCTTCAAAAAATCTAAACATAGGGGATCATGAAAGGTGAGCTGCTAGATGAAACTTCTGAAACCAAGTATATTTGTCTCCTACCAAAGGACTAAGATGTGCCCTTTTTTAGGAAGAAAAATGTGAGACTTTACTGGACTAAGGTATCAGAAGATTAAGTACTGTGGCTAATTTGTAACTGAAAAGTAAAAAAATAAAATTATCAAGTCTAGATAAACACCTATGAATTCTGAAAGATTAAATATGAAATGACTGAGCTGTTAGCAAAAATGTGAAAACTCATTACAGCCCGTGTGTGAAAAGGAAACAGTAAATATTTTAAAAGGGATGTAGTGGTAGTCAGGGGAATCATTGAAAGTAAGCTACTAAGAAGTTAGATTTCACAAATAAACTGAAATAAGGATTGATACAATTTTAAAGATCAGTGCTGAAGATTAGACATAGCCACCAGGTAGGTTTCTCCAGGGAAAGCAATTCAATCATCTACTAGACTTAAGAATTTAGAAAAGGCTTTCATCTTATCAAACAATATACAGAAAGTAGAAGTATGGACTGGCTATAATGGTAGAATTTAGAAATGCTTCCTGGTAACTCTCGATAGCATTAGGAAAGCAAGTATTCAGAGTGGATGCTCTTGAAGGACTTCAAGGGTAACAAGACCAGCTTTCACAGAACCAAAAGCCCGAACAAAGGAAGTGTGGACCTGTTGAAGGGGACAGCAGACACAGCTATGGCTGAGATGCTAAATGCCTTTCTTGCCTCGATCTTCCCCAACAAGGTCTTCCAGGTCTCTGTGCCTGGAAGCAGAGTTCAAGGAGGCAATGAACTAACAGCAGTAGGTGGTCAGGTAAATACCAACGAGACAAGACAGGTATTGACTGAGAACACTAGACCCGTGGAAGTCCACGGACCTGGCAGGCTGCATCAAAGTGTGCTGAGAGAGCTGGCCAATGTCCTTACAAGACTGCTTGCTCAAGGAGACTGGGGGAGATCCTGACCACTGGAGAAATGTCCAGACTATATTCAAAAAAGATGATTCATGGAATTAAGGTGGGCCATCCAACAGCATGGCATTCAGACTGCATTTCTGAGCACACGAAGGAGAAGCAGCTGACTGGGAGCAGTCAACATTGATTTACACAAAGGTAAGTCATGTCTGACCAATCTGGTTGCCTTCAATAATAAAATGACATAGTTTGTGGACATGACCAAAGAAATGGCTGTAGTCTACCTTAACTTTATCAAGACTTTCAACACTGTCTCCCATAATATTCATATATCCAAATTCATTGATTAGGCCTGGCTGGGTGGGAAACAAGATGGATAAATTCCTGGTTGGATAACTAGGCTCACAGGGTAGCTCACCAGGAGGCTGGTAACAGGCACCACAGAGGTCTAACGTGGGATGTGTCTTTACCAATAACCTGGATGAGGTGAGTAAGCACCCTGTTGTCAAGTTGGCAGATGACATGACACTGGGAGACTGCTCAAGCAGCTGACTGCTCCAGGACAGGCTGCCGTCCAGATGGACCTAGAAAGGCTGCAGGAATGGGCTGACAGGAGTAGTGAAAATTCAGCAATGACAAAATACAATGCCATGTATTCCTGTGGAGGAATAACCGCCTTCAACAACCCGGGCTGGGGTGCAGCTCTGCAGAAAGGCACCTTTGTAGACAGTGATGAGCCTTGTGAGAATTTCTGTTTCACCATTAGGCAAAGTGTTGTGTAGAAGTAAGTGTATTACTGTGCATTGACAGTCAATCATCTGTCAAAAGCATCACTGATGAAATGCGCTAGCTAAATACAGCATTCTATATTCATCAATTCTGTGTTGCTGCTGCCAATTCACTTCTGTATGTCCTGGCAGTGCTAAGAAGTGCAGTGAACTGTCACAGGGTGAATACTGTCATGTCCTGTAATTGCTGTGTTATTTGTCATACATACTGTTAGAAAAGTCTACAAGAAGTATTTACTGAGTCTCCAGTTTCTAATGACAACACCTAGTGAAATTGCAGTCATTATTTTACAAGACATATAATTTCTAATATAACAAGCAACAAAGCATTTTTTCTGAAATATTGCTAACTGGTATATAAATGACGTGTATCTGCTGTTAGAAAACAGCATGGTTAGAAAGAACACAAAAAGAAAACAGTTCCTCTGTATATCTTGTGGCTATAAAAGCAACCTTGCTATTTTCAAGGCAAACCAACGTAAGACATGAGCTGTTAGTCCAAAAGTGTGCTACAATCAGGTATGAGAAGCATATTACAAGCAGTCTGAGAAGCAAGCAAGACACAAAGGCATCACCAGGCAGGAAATAACAAGGAGGAGAATTATGTCAATGCCTTCAGGAAGGCATGTTGTAGCTGCCAAGTCTGGCATTAACTAGTCTGCAGTTCTTTACTGTTTGGTGTGCTAACTTAAAACACAGGTTTTATCTCAGTTGCCCTGCTCTGTGTCTTTTCATAGTTGCAGGTGCTGCTGTATGCTGAGAAAATGATAGCAAGAGGACAAGAGCAAGCCAAGTATAAGTATAAACTCTACGGATGTGCTAAATGCTGTCAGCAGTAAACCCAAGTTTTGGTTCACCTGACCCTATGCTGAGGAGCAACAAAGAAGTTTTGGAGCCTTTGAGATGTACACGTATGCATGCTGCTGTGCAGGCAAGCTGCACAAATGGAAACAACCTCTCACATCAGTGACTTATGCCCTCACACAAACATGTCGAATGGGATCATAATATATATCACCTCCTTCAGAAACTGTTTTTTATGACCTGCAACTCCACAGACTACTGGTATGACATTCACAACCCAGCAGCCAAGGTACAGCAAAACAAAGAGAAATGACAAACCTTGACAGAACTAATAAAATTACTAAACCATTGATGTTCCTTTCCAGCAGAAAGAATTTTTATAACTACTTTGCCTCCAGCCTGTTTTGTAGGTTACACGTTGTTCGATGTACCTTTATTCCTGGATTAAACAACTCATTCTCTGTTCAGACAAATACAGTTAGTGGAGACATAAATCCCCAGCCTCACTAGGTCACCCAGTCTCACTACACAGCTGCCACACCAGATCTCAAAATAAGGAAAAAGTATTTGTTAAGCTGGTTAATTCCTATGGGTTATCTGTTGATGCCCAATTTCTCATACTGTTATCCACACTGGATGGGAATTTAATTTTGCAGTAGTTTTACTGATGTCAGTTGAAACACCTGCAAAGCAAAGCACACATTCTACATGAGTGAGGGAATCATAATCCCACATTTTAAAACATTTATCTCTTTGAATTTCTAATTTTGAAACAATAAGGTAATGAACGACAAAAATTGTTTAAAAATAAAAAAGAAGATATAGTTGAAAAAATTGTTATAAAATAAAATACCTGTAACTGAGTTTGTCTATAGACAAATTCTACTTCTAGGGAAATGACCACGCAGCCAGGTCACAATTCACTTTATTTTTGGTTATCGCTCACGAAGCACTGAGGGGAAAAATGTTATGTCTGGTCTTTATGATAAGTTTTTTTCTCATTGCAGTTACTAAGGTGATAGTAATACTATCCTATACAGATTAACTACAATATAGGGCTATTCTGAGGATTGAGTCAATTGAGAATGAATTAGTAACAGGTACAAGTATTTTTCAGTCTTTGTTGATTTTGTTTAGTAGCCTACACCTTAATCAGGCAGCAGTTGCCAGGTCACTTTCATTTTCTGGCTTAGTATACATTAATAACTTTGTAATTTAAAACATTATCTCTGCTTTTAACTCGAATAAAAAAAAAATTAGGCTTTGCGTATGTTTCTTTCCCCAAAGCATACCCTCTTCTGCAATTCAAATCCTAGGCTTAGAATTGGTAACATGTTTTTCGTATGTGTCAGCCAAAAGCATTTAAAAAAGTATACAGAAAATGTAGAATAGCAGAAGGTCAGCTCCATAAAGGAATAACCAAACTCCTTTTTAGGTGGTTAAATACGGCTAAGGTCAGAGACTTGGGCATCAACATATCTCTGTAGATCTGGGTTACAGAATGATTCAGGCTAGCTGTGCCATTGGTCTTGGCTGTTGCACAAAACTGTCTGCATGAAGTAGTCACTAAATTTTAGGAGAAAATAACTGATGTCATGGCTTACACTGAAATCGTTATTTATGACTAATTCAGATAAAGCTTTCCAATCCGTTCCTCCCATTTTTTCTAGGACATTAAGGGTTAATTCACAGGCATACTTAGGGAACAGGGCACACTAAGTCAAGAGATCTGACTGTTGGCAGTGATGGCTGTGTCAGAATCTAGTAATACTGCTTGCTAGCCAGTTCGAAGATCTGGGTGAACCACATTAAAGGAAAGGTTTAAGAACATTCTGCTTTTCAGCGTAAGGAAATATCTACTCCAATTACTGCATTCTTGTGTAACCATCCTTGCAGAAAACTTGTAGTCAGTTTTATTGAGCTGTTTAGAGCCTGGGGACATGTTGGCTTCAAGTGAATCATGGTGTCCTGTTTTCAGCTGGGATGGAGTTAATTTGCTTCCCAGTAGCTGGTACAGTGCTGTGTTTCAGCTGTAGTCTGAGAACAATGCTGATAACACACCGATGTTTTAGTTGTTGCTAAGTAATGTTTACCCTGATCAAGGACTTTTCAGTCTCTCATGCTCTGCCAGTGAGGAAGTGTACAGGAAGCTGGGAGGAAGCAGAAACAGGAGACTTCACCCAAACTGGCCAAAGGGCTATTCCATACCACAGCACGTCATGGCCAGTATATAAACTGGGGGGAGTTACCTGGAAGGGCAGATCGCTGCTCGGGTCAGGCTGGAGTTACCTCAAGACCTCCAAATTTATTTGGCATTTACTGAGAAAAGCCACTCTTAAGTACTGTTCATTCATGTTGCATTTGAGACAGTGATCTAAAGATTTAAGGAACATAGAAGTTACGCTTTGCTTTGTTGCCACAATGTTTTGGCATTTGAAATGCTGACTGTCTTGATTTAAACGTCATCTGCAATGTGGGCCAAGTGTGAAAAAAAGATGTATCTAGGAACTACTTGATGACCTGAGTACCTCCACTCCTGACACTGCCTGTTGGCAGAAGATGAAAAGCTGAGCTCCCAAAGGTATGAACAGTAGCAATTTGTCTGCAAAAGGAGATTAACATTCCTCTAAATTCATTAGAAATTGTAGCAATTTGATCCAAATTAATTGGTAGAGAACAAATGCCATCAACTTCAAGTGAGGTTATACAGCAAAGACCTACTAGGAGACACTCTAGGGAAAGGAAGCATTTCACTAGTCCTCCCTAGCGCACTGCCTAACAAAAGCTTGTATGCTTTTCTTCTCAAAACAGGCTTCTGAATACCTTGGCACTGACTAGGATGAGTGGCCCAACCTTCATACCAGTCAAGAAAGGCAAGCTGCAAGAGTTCTGAACACAAACTGACTACACATCCAAAAGCTGAAATGCAGTAACTACCAAAATGTTTAAAGAAAATGAAATGTGCTGTGGGCTGCTTGAATCACCCCATCTTCTGTAAAAGATACCACAAGGACCATACCTTCAGCAACACACTGTAATATCTGATGCCAGCTAGAAATTGGAAATGTAAACCTATTAACTACTTGTTACATGTGTGCAAACCCACTGATTTAAATTTCATTTTTCTGACTTCTCCGAAGCTGGCTGGATAGCGCTACAAGCAGAATTTGCTTTATTTTCCTTAACTACTTAAACTCATTTCCATTCTGGCCTTCAAAACTCCCCAAGGTACAATCTGATCTGTTAAAAAAAAGAGAGAAAAAAAAGGCACCAGGTTTTTCCTTTATTGCTTATTCATGTTTCCCAGTTTGCAGTAATTCAGCATGGTAAACAAACAGCCTCTCTCTTATGTGCTGGTTTGAGTCCCAATTTTGGCAGTTTTGTAAACTAAAGTTTTACACTCCCACCGTAGTTAGGATAACTTCATTCCCTAATGGATACTTAACACATCTAATTACTCTATTTTTGAGCTGAAAGCGCTGTTGAAAAATGTCTTAGTTCTTTCATTTCAGGAGCTTTCCAGCTGCAACATTTTCTACTAAATAAAACATTTCCAGTGACTTTGCCATAAATAATACAGCACGAAGACCAATGTAGTCCCAACTATACATAATAACCTCAGAATTCCGCTGAGGGTTTTCTGGTGACATCATAATAAACTGCAAGAAAAAGCTGAAGATGTATTAAATTATAGTTTGGGTATATTTTATTCTTTTGTACACATGATAATAAACCTCAGACATTTGTCACAGCAATTTGAACATTTTCCTGGACTACTTCAAAACTAGAAGGGACATAATTTCAAAGCAGGATGCAGAGGTGTATCTCGTATTTGTAAGGACAAACTGAATGACTGAATATATCATAATTATTTATTTCGCATGTACAAAATCCCATGTTGTTTCTTCACACTCCTTAGTCAAATGTAAAGCTTTTTAAAATTTAAAAAAGAAAAAAATTAACCTCCCTCAAAGCCTCAAGATCAATGTTGATAAACATTGATGTAGAATATCCTTTTACTCCCCTATAAATCATGAAAGGTTTATAACTGGGACTACAGAGTTAAAAAGTTGGGTTGTGTCAAAATACCCCTGCAGCACTCCATGATCTCGAACTCTGTTATTCAGATCTCAAAAAAAACCCAACAACAACTCAGTTTAACTGGTAATATAACTGTACCAGTGGAATAATTTGCTCATGTGATTTTAGTCTGTTTTACATGTCTCTGTCTTGGAGTGCTTAGCCCTCTAATAGATTAAAGTGTTGAGGCTTTTAGCCCTGGAAAGAAGGATAACAACCATAGACACTTTATTTCCACCCGGGAATGAATAAGGACTGATAATGCCTGGGCAATCTCAGCCGTAGGACACCAACTTCTCCCTTTGCCCTCTCTTGGCCAAGGAGTAGGAAGAAAAAGAAGTGCAAGAGGATGCTCCTAACGGGAAAAGTCCTAACTATGCACTCAAAGTGAAGGCTGCTTCTGCTCTTGGGTACAAGCTTCAGCTTCTAATCACCAATAAAACTTGGCTGCTATTGCAAATGTTTACTTTATGTGCTGTTAAAGCCTGACTGTTTTTAGTGTGTAGAAAATCCTCACCTAGAGGAAAAGTGCCCTGGCAACTGGCTGCCATGCAGTGACACTTAAACCTAACCTGTGAATTTACAGGAGGCCAAGGCAACCCTGACCAGTCTACACTAGTGGCTCACTGTCTCAGGAAGCATTTCGATGAAACTTGGAAAGCAGCTGAACTAGAGGTAGCAAGACCTTAGGTGATGATACAGAGAAGACAAGGACTTGATTCAACAAATGGAGTGAGAAAATTCAATTTTTCCCTAAGGTCAGCATTGAGCCTGCAGGGTCTTACTCTTCTGGAGGAAGAAATACAGCAGAATGTGCCTCTCTTCTTTAAAGTCATTCTACCATTTTTGCAAAGAAGGATTTATGGGAAAGATTAACCCTGTCCCTTTCACATACTTTCATGGACTCGTAGCCTCAAGATTAAAAACCTTCTATGAACCAGCCAGCCCACCCACTGGAGTACTTGGTTAGCTAATGTTTCATTGTATTTTCTAATCTCTGCTTTTACCCAGGGGAAAGGATTTAGTGGTAGGGGAGATCACGGGAGCAGTGAGAATGAGCATAATTCAGCATGCAGCTTGCTGAAGGAGAGAAGACTGGAGAATGAAAGGGTAGAGAGAGAAAGGGTAGGAGACTTAGAAAGGTTCCTGTGGTATGGAAAGATGAGATGATCTGGAAAAGGGGCTAGAAGGAGTGACAGAAAAACAGTTCTCAATAAAAGGAACAGGAGAAGACAAAGACCTTCATATTAGGGAGGCATGAAGCAAAAGAACCAATAGACAGAAAAAAGAGAACAATATGATCCGTTAATGTAGTAAGAAAGCACTTGGAAGCAGAAGGAGCAAAGTGACCACAAGTGATTTTTTACTGTGTGTTGCTATTAACACATCTTTGCCTTGGCAAGAAAAGGTGAATTCAGCTTTGACTGACTATTCCCCATATATTGAAGGAGTATTGGAGTCGTCCTCATCAAAGTGTCAGAGCACAAGTATCGTGGGATGCATTTGAATGGAAAACATAACCTGAAAATACACAGCACGCAACTTTCCCATTTCAAATACTGATACATCAATTATCTCAAACTCAATTACTTCTTTCAAAATATGTATGTATGCACACATATGTATATATACGTGCCACAGAAGAGTATCTGCAAGAGGCTAACAATTCTGATCCTAAAGGCAAAGTGTCTCCAGGGAGACTGGTTGTCTATGGTATATTGTTATTTTTTTTAGCTTCCAAACTACTTCTCGGGATGACAAAAATTTCTTCATTTTCTCACACTCAAGTGGAACATATATACCCCTCTACATGAATATATATGTTCACCCTCCTTTCCCTCAGTTCATTCTTTATCAACTTACTGGATGGAGTTTTCAATGCGTGTGATGGTGAGGAAAGCTGCAAGATTTGCTGTGTAAGAGGAGATGACAATCAAAGCAAAAAGCCACCAAGCTCCCATCATCAGCCGGGTTGCCAGGGTTGTGTATGGAACCTCTCCTCCTGTGGGGAAGAAGGAAAAGCAAGAGTTTTCATTTGGCAGATGGAAACCCAGATCCTCATTGCTCATGCATTGCTCAGGAGAACTAGGCCCCAAGGTCAACAGGGAGCTACACTTTCTATGCAATATGAAAAGTGTTGAAGGAAGCCCACAGTGTCAGCTGTCATTACTGTATTTAATTTCTTTTGCTATTGTGCTGTTAATCACAATTCATCTGCCCGTCCTGTCCAGCAATGGAAATAGACTTCAAGACCTGAGAACAAAACCATCAAAAGTAAATTCTTACAATGTTCATTCCTTAGAGATTTTATCTATAAACATTAATTAAGAATTCTTGTGATCTAAGGAACGTAAAGTTAAAAAAAAAAACCATTGAAACATAATTAGTTTTCACAGTTCTGTAGGCAGGCATATGCTCATGAGAAGCATATGCATATGTGCACAACTTGCTGCAAGTGAACTTGGATATGCAAAAAACTAATCACATGTATTGAGGAATGCAAAATTGTTTTGTATTCCCATAGCTGCTTTCATTTAAAAATCCAACTGTCATGTAAACAAAACATTAGCAGCAATTAAACCTACCAGGAGCTGTACACCACCACTTATGTGACCAGAGCCAAGTTTAGCAAGCCATGAAAAGCATTATTTTTTGTTCAAATTGCTGCACCCAAAACACACTAGTTTGGAGTTTCGAAAGAACTCTTTCAGTTAAAAACATACGAATGACAGATTTTTAGATGAAGGAAAATTCATTGTTTTAAAAACACCTAGTTTGTTTGCAGTGTATGTTTTGTCACAGCTACAAGTAACTAGGTGGGGGACAGATGAATGCAGCAAACACCCCCAGTCAACTGCTTAAAACTTCACCCTTTTCCTCTCCCCCTATAATCAGCAATTTGAAAAGTGGTCATTATTGTTGAAGTAGCTTTCTCAAATGCAAAATCTTACAATGGTACAATATCTGGGATTTGTACAAAAGCAGTTTGTTACAGACTCAATCATTTAAGTATTTTGTGCTGCATCTTCACTTACATAAATACTCCTCCATATTTCCCCAGCAAGTGGGTGTAAAGGGAATACAAATTCCAATTATTCTCAAATAGAAGTAAGTTTCAATTATATATACAAACTAGATATTTAATCAATTCTTGAATATGAAGACACTTTCATATTCACCTTACTGTTTGGTTCAAAGTTTGTCCTACTTATACAAAGCATTGGGAACTCTGCACCACCATACAGTAACCAAAAGTGAAGCTTTCTTCCTACTTCAGTGATGTGGAGTTGTACCACATGTGAAGTAGTAACTGACTATGTTTATATTTTTTGTATATAAGTATTGAAATCCTTTGCCTTTTAAGAACTGCAAAGACAGAATCTATTTTAGACCTGTCCAGCCAGAAATAAATTAATTTTAATTCCCAAGATATCATGTAATTATCTGAAATATGAATCTACTGGTCAGGTCAGGAGATATTATTTCAATATAAAGACTTTAAAAGATGAACTTCAGCTTCAACATCTGAAGATGTGGTTTTCTCTCCTACATAAATTGTAAATTATATTAATAGAATATTTCTACTTTACAAGAGTTTTTGTAATATCTTTGGAATACTTAAATTTAAAACTATTTTTAATAAAGTTAAAAGAGAAGAAAGTATATCAATTTATCTGAAAAGGCTCTTGGTCCTTTTAACTTTCAGGTGCCAATCCCTACAGATAGTCTTCCTATTGAACTGAGCTGGGTAGAGTGATAGAGAAGAAGCCAGTGATCTCCTGGACATCCTTGCATTTTCATGTTTCATCTTATTGAGTAAAACTTAGTTCTCACATTTTTTTTATTGAAATGAAACGTCAGAAAAGAGAGGACTACTGAAGGTCACACACCTGCTTTCTGCTTTTCAAGTAAGGATGATGTGTAACAAGTGACCATGAAAGCCATCGTAGATCCCTCAGCCACAACATCCCCCTACTGTTCATACAGCATAGTTTTCCTATACATTGGTACGGTTATCCCCAGTATTCATAGAATCATAGAACAGCTAGGGTTGCAAAGGACCTTAAGATCATCTAGTTCCAACCCCCTGACATAGGCAGGGACACCACACACTAAACCATGTCACCCAAGACTCCATTCAACCTGACCTTGAACACTGCCAGGAATGGGGCATTCACAACATCCTTGGGCAACCAGTGCCAGTGTCTCACCACCCTCACCATAAAGAACTTCTTCCTTGCATCTCACCTAAACTTCCCCTGTTTAAGTTTAAACCCATTACCCCTTGTCCTGTCACTAAATTCCCTGGTGAAGAGCCCCTCTCCAGCATCCCTGTAGGCCCTCTGCAGGTACTGGAAGGCTGCTATGAGGTCTCCACACAGCCTTCTCTTCTCCAGGCTGAACAGCCCCAATTTCACTGCTACCTTTTGTTTTTTAACACCCATATTAACAATAGACTTTAAGAAACTGTGAATGCTGGTCATCCCAAGTGCTTTTACTTCACCCAGGTGTTTGCAAAGTCTTGTTCCTAATTCACAGTAGTGCCTTGCATATCAACAGTCAATAAATGAAGCTTAAAGACAATGCTTGCATCCATGTACATGTAAAATACATATCAAAATAATTAATCACTCCTGCTTGTACTCTATAATCTTTTCACTAAGGCTTTTTAAACCACCATTTCTAAAGCAGGACTGACACTGCAACTGCATAGAAATCATGATTTTTAAGCAGAACAGGCAGTGTACTCCACCTCTCCTAGTGAAAGAAAGAAAGAAACAAAAATCAAAGGAGATGTCTTACTGCCATGGTATTATTTCTTTGGCATCTATTAGGAGACTTAATGTGATAGAGTCTTGTTCTATTGTACTGTTTGCTAAAACACTCCCCGCACCCTGACAGCTCACCTTAAGAAACCTCTTCACTCCCCCAATTTTGTTTCTATGGATAAAACTTTCCAGAGTTTTCTTTCAGTCCAATTTTACATGTTTTCTCAGTGCAGAAGAGTACCAAGTTATTCAGGAGAGCAACGTTCATTGGTTTTATGCTAACATTACCATGAAAAAGAGCTACCGACCTAACAGTCACTATTGTTGACTGTAAATTAGTATGCAGAAGGGACATGCATATAAAACTGCCTGTGCTCTCCTTGTCAATATCTAGTATAAGTTTCAGGTGCAGAGACATCTTTATGGATGACAGCATATTTTAGTTATGGGGGCTATGCACAGGACACACAGTGCAAGGGTGGAGGAAGCCAAGAAGATGAAACAAATCTTTCCCTGCTATAGTCTTTCATATTAGACCTGCAAAGTTTAATAACCCCTAATGGCAAAGGGGGGTATCTGATGCAATGTAAACACATGTTGGTGACCAGAGTAAAAATCTGTCCTTTGACAGCCCATACCTATAGCAAAATTCATCAACAGGAATTAACATGCTGCTTCTGGTTACATTAAACACACTATTGTTGTAGCATACTGAGCAACAGTCAAAAGTACCGAGCTCTACTCATGAAACAAATGGAAATCAAAGAAGACACTCAGCAGTCCTGGAGTTGCTTTGTCATCTTGAGAGACAGACCTTAAATGAATACAGAGGCTGTATTATTCTTTAGACTTGGCCTTCCAACACACTGGCAGAAGGGTATAAGGTGGCACAAAATAGTACTACCTGTAGATAACCTATGTTGTGGCTACAGCTCCTAGTAAAATTCAGCTGACACTTTTGATATGTATTACAACTAATTTAAAAATCTAATCTGCCTTTAAAATTTTCAGATTGGAAGGAAAAGACATTTTCCAGAGTAAACTGAACTAGCAAAAATCAATCTTATTGGGAGTTTTCTGAAAGACCTGAATTACCGTAGAAGTGACAGTGAAAGAAATTACTTTTAGTCCTCCCACTCTCATCTAATGCAGCTCTCCTTCATCAATCCTAGACCCATTCAATGCTGGCCTACTTCAGATGACAGGCTTAGGCTGCAACTTATCTTATGAATTTTTGTTTATTCCCATTTCTTTCCAAGTGCTCCAAGCTAAATATCAGAAAGTAAGAAAAATAAGGCATTGTCTTGACAATGCAAACAATATAATGTGTAATTACGACAAACCTAAACATCAGGAAAAACCCACCTTAGGAGATAAAATGTGAATCCATACAATTCCCATACAGATTTGTAATACCTTGTTAGCTGTAAGTTTAAAGGTTTCTTCAAGTTAAAAATTACAAGAGAGGATTACAGGCAAGAAGGAGGAATGAAATGGGAAATGGGAAAATGAGCAAAACATGGAAACTGGACTAAACTAAAAAATTTTCATCTATGTAGTCCAGAACCATGACAGTGTTTCAGACAGAAGTGGAAAAAAGTTTTTAATGGACAAAAAGAAATGGTGAAACGTTTCTTGGAGAATTTTAACCACAGTTGGCATTTCGGAGATGAAGCCTGGTGGCAGCCATCTTGCTGAAAAGTACTGTGATTTTTGTTACTAGTCATTCAGGCAGTAAATGGGCAAGATAAGTTCTCACTCAAATTTAATATTAATTTAAGAACTTGACTTGGAATGCACAGTAATTTTAAATAAAATTAATTAATTAACTAAGAATAATTTTCTTACTACTACTAAAGCAAACAGCTTGGCAGCATAGAGCCTACAATTCTGAGAAAGCTCAGAACTGATTATTGAGAACAATAATACCTTCTGAAAATTAATTATTGAAATATACTTTAAAAACAACTAATCACAGACAGAAAAACCATAAACCATTATTCTATGTCCTGAATTTGATAACTGTACTAAATGATGTTTCTGGAGGGATTTGAGACCTGAACTGAGTCTGCTGCAACTACTTCATATGCGAGAGGCTTGGATGAGAAGGCTCTACCCTTTTCTAACAGGAATGACACTACAAGCATCACGGCTTGCAATTTCTATTTGTGATACACACAGCTGCCATGGAAATCCCCAAGACTAAGCTTTCATTACAGACAAAACTCAGCTT